TCGACTCTTCGGGTAGTAGATTCCAGAAGCATCCTTGCTCGCTTGTCTTCATCGGATTCCAGCGGAGTAGAAGGGTGTGATACGCCGATGTTGTCCAGTGTGATGTAATCACGAACTAGTTGGTTTAGTTCTTGCTCTGGATCGGTCCATCCTCCAACATGAAACCCACAGACAACTGTTGATTGCGGCTCTGACCTACATCCGTAGATGCTCCACCCAATGCGACTCTTAGCGGCAATTGGTTCTTCCCACCTTCCTTCTCTGATTTTCAGCGGCACGGTGAGTTTCAGGTTGTCAAGACCGATCAAGAGTTTTGGGAACACCTTCTTATAGTTCTGTAGTGGTAAACCACGCAGATGAGGATATTTTCTAGATATTTCGATGTAGTCCATATTTTGCGAGGGAAGCAACAATCCACCGACGGTACGCGCATTAACCAGTATGTACTGCTTCGAAAATCCACTACCGGAAATCTGAGCACTGATCCGCCTTGAATTTGGTTCGCTGCGCTTGATGTTACCAGTCCATTGTAAGTTCAGCGGCTCCGTAGTTCCCTCTATTCCAAGTTGATCTGCAACCGAATCCTCCAGCAAAGTTATCTGCGACCCTTCATCGACGAAAGCATAGATGTCCACCTTGCAGTTCTTCCCATATAACGTAACAGGAATGATTCTGAAAAGCGGTCCTCTTAACGTCTTCAACTCACTAAGATGACTTGTTGATACGGCAGCCTGCACGATTGTGCTTGAGGAATGTAAGAGAGAATGGTGTTTGAGTCGGCAATCGTTGATACCGCATTCCTTTGCTGTCTTGCATGGCCATTTTCCATGGTAATTCAAACACGACCTGCAAAGACCGCTCTCATGTACCGCCTTCAATCTTCCGTCGATATTCATCGATTTGAACCTGCCGCATTCCGAAACCCGGTGTCCTTCCGCTTTGCACACCACGCACGGTTTCTTCGGTGTTCGCCAACCTGCTGAAGTATTGCTGCCGATTGGTTTGTTCTTGGACGACGATTCTGGCTCTGCGTGTGTCTGGACAAATGAACGCTCCTTGACTTTCGACTTTTGTGGCTTCGCACATGGGAAGTCATCTGCTACATCGTAAGCAAGTTCTACCAAATTTGACATGAATATTCCAAACGTACTCAAGTCCACATCTTGATTCCTGCATTTGAAGGCTGACCATTTGAGCCGATAATCAACAGGCAATTTGCCCACCATGTCATGTAACAGTGATGGGTTGGATAGATGTGCCTGATGTCCCACATTCTCAAGATGCTGAACCAAATTATCCACCGCCAGTCCAAATTCGATGATACTCTCCACATCATTTGCCTTCAGCGGTGGTAAATGCCGAACTCGCTCTGTCATGCAACGAATGAGTGTTTCTGGTCGTCCGTACCGCATCTCCAAGGTTTTAATGACGTGTGATACGCTTGTGGGACAAAGTAGTCGACTGCGCACTGCTTCAAGGGCTGAACCCTTTAGACAGCGTTGAAGGCCTATGAGATTTTCGTCGTCGGAGAAACCGCAAGTTGTAGTAGACCGCTGGAAGCTACTGATCCATATTGGCCATTCTTCCGGATTACCCGAAAACATCGGTAAATCCTTCCCCATCACCTGCCTAGCAGCCAGCTGTCGATTTGTCGGGCCATCTGTGTAATCTTCTTCTTTATCGCTCCTTTGATTGGTACGCACATTACTACACGACACCGGTTGTCCATTTCTGCTACCAACTCCTGTCTCGCTTTGGCCGTTTGCCGTCTGATTGCCCCGAAATTCAACCGGATGCACTGGAATGTTTCGTTGTTCGTTTCTGTCGGTAATAGGAATCAACACTTCACCCATATTCAACGAACGACTTCCATGACCCGCTCCATCAAGTACACGAGTGTGTGTGTGAAGACGATTTTCTGACACACCCACGTTGTGGTCGTCAGCAGAAGCTTGTAATCTCGAATCTTCTCCCATATTTAGTTGGCCAAACTTATCAGCGAAATGTCGATTATCGAAAGCATTCGCGTGAGCTTGCTGCCCTTTATCCGCCTGGCTAACAAAAGGTTGTATGTGGGGAGATTTTGTGTTGGAGGCAACTTTATTTTGTATTGTTAGAGGGGGAAGATCTAAGCTCCTATCTGTCCTAATATTGGCTGATGTTTGATGGTTAGTATTTTGTTCAATGGGTACCTGTGTTGGACCACCGCTAGAGTCAAGTGCTGACGTGAACTCCTTTATCGGTCCCGCTGTCTGCTGCGTCGACTTCTTTAGCCAATCCTCCACTTTGTCCTTCGAATCGGTATCAGTACCAATCAAACTACTTCTGCTGCTGCCATACTCGGACGCCTGCCGAATTAGCTTAGCCTTCTGCTCCGCCGATTGCCTCCTAATCGCCATCTGCTTCTTGTATTCCCGCTCATCCGCAATCTTCTGTCGTAAAGCGGCCTTAGCTTCGGCGATCCGCTTGGTTTTGATCGCAAACTCCTTCTCCTGCATTTCCTCTTCGAGCTTCCGTTCGAGGTCTTTCAGTTCTTTCTCGGCAGCCAACTCTTCTTCCTGGATCTTCTGCTGTTCTTCAACCGCCTTCAGCTCAAGTTCCAATCGAGCCCGTATGCTGGACGTAGCACTTTCGCCAACCGTTTTCTTCGACTTCCTGGTGACTTTACTACCGGCCGAAGACTTCGCCGTCATCTTCTTCGGGACTTCAAGATTCTCCGATTGTTTCACCGGTACTTTCGGCTTGGCACCTTTTGCGTCCGATTTCTTGGCAACCGATTCGTTAAAACCTTTTGCCGTACCGGACTTACCTCCATCGGATCCGTATTGCTTAGGATTAGGATTATCATTCTTCTCCGGAACATCGTCTGTTCCTTCCTTACACAGGGGTCCGAAGGTGGGACAGTACCATTTCCGATCCTGAACACTGGCACTGACCTTCGCACAGGAGTAATGGTGCCACAACTGGCAGGAATCGCACGCCACCATGTCGTCATGTTCGTCGGGATTGGTACATAAAGCGCAATTGCGTTGCACTTGCGAATCATCCCCATTATTCTCCATCGTCCGGAAAATGTTCGGGAAAAATTCTAAAGGAATGTTGAAACTGATTTCTTTGAGCGTCCCGTAAAAGTCGAAGTTTGTTGGGAACAGCTTTAGCTGTAATTTAAGTTTTATTTTTAGTAATATTATCAATTTAACAATATCACTACAATCACCTACAATTTTTCAGTTTTTCTTCCGACTAACTTCCTTTAGTGACTACAAATGTTAGGTTAGGTGTTCTGCTATAAGGAACAAATTTATCATTGTAATTAATATTAACTTCAACATTTACTTTATTATTTACTTGCAGTTTATCGAACTGAACACTTATTAACTATTTTTTTACCTTTTAAATATTATAACTAGCTTTAATTAAATTAACTGCCTGCATAAACATGACTTGCACTTGACGAACTTTTTACTGTCAATGTTTACATTTTGTTTCTTTCGCCTGATCTTCCGTGTCAAACCGCGATGACATTTCTTCGTTACAGCGGGTTCGGCAATGGTCATCGATGCGCGTAGCTACCCTCTGGTAACTAGCGATCGTTACGCGCCGAGGGGTACTCGTCGTCACAACCCCTACTGTCAGATTTCGCTCGTTGGGCTATATTTAAGTGGGCTTCGTTATAGTTGGCCCCCATTATATGAGCTGTAGCCCACCTAAATCAAAGTCAAACGTCATTTCTGACAGTGTTTCCTTGATGGTTGTCAATGATGTGGCTGAACGAGGGGTGAAGCTAATTTCTGACTTTATCAAGAAACCCACCCGAGACCCAGTTCAACTTTCGGTGATCGAACAGCATCGAAAGTACCCTGAGAAATCGTAGAATAGATTAAACTGAAATATAATCGTTACAATCCAATGACATTTGTGTGAATATGTCTGACATAAGCGGCGCCGGTGGTGTAGTGGTAAGCGTGATTACCTCTCACCCCAGCAGGCCTGGGTTCAATCCCCGTCGGCGCCGCCAGGATGTTCTGAGGCATAACATCTCTGGTCCCCGGTTCATGAGTTGATGAGTCAATATGTAGGGTCCAGGTGTGGGAGCTGCCTGCCTGGCTGCAATTTGAAATCTTTCTTCTTGAAAAGTTGTCGCTCCATGAGTTCTAAGATGTCACTGAATTCTGGTTTCCTGTCGTGAAAATAACTTCATAATTTATTAACTTGAAATCTCAAAAGGTACCCGCTCCGACCAAATCAATTTTTATCTTCATCCGATAGGCCGAAGTGAATTCATTTGCGTTTCAATGCGTTAGGCCGAGTTTAGAATCCGTAGGCCGAGTTTGGCGTCAAGAAGCAGTGTTAGACTTTTGACAATATCTCAACGATTGGTTCCTCTTTATCAAATCTTACGGTACGTACAGAAAGGTAAATAAATTTGGAAGCCATCAGTAATAATAACATTCCGTTTGGTGCTAAACTGCGCTAGATTAAGAAAGACTAAGTGCGGGTTGTGCTTAATAGGCCGAAAATGGGGTAGTTAACCCTATTTTTTTTGTGTCCCACACATGCATTTTTGCAATGCGATCATCAAATGATATCTATGTGTCGGACACATACTTCATATGTGTACACATAAAAGCCATGTGTAACCACACATAGTATTCATTTGACTCATAAATTTCATGTGTGCTTCTGGGTGGATTCATAAATGTGTTGTCACATGAAAATCATGTGGAACTTCACATGGAAATTCATCAATAAAACTGTGTGGAATTTTATTACTGTAGGAATAGAGATGCAAAAAAGTATGTTTTCCCATATTAATTTCCATACAAATTTCAAACGCCATGCGGAAAGCCGGGTTACAATCAATCGTCCCCAAATTTTGCACATTTGTTTGGGACCCCAAATAGAACCAAAAAAATATTGTTCAGAAAAAAATATCATGATGACTCACCCTAGTATACATATAACCAAATACTTACTGCTACTAATTTTCTGTATTTCAGTTCGAAACATGTGTGTCCAAATTAACCAGAATCGAAAACAGTTTACATCAAGTAATGAGCATCAACGTTGAAGGATTCGATAAAGGAGATGGTGGATATAGTTTCATTTGTTTGGATTCCAAGTGGGATGTTAACAATAGATGTGGCCCTTGGACACCACGTGATATTCTAACATTGAACTTGATACACAACAATTTCCATTATAATCGTAAACTTATCGAGATCATTTTGAAGTATGTGAAATTATTACATATCTAAACTCAATAATTACTATGTTTTATTATAGATCCCAAGATGCCGTCATTTATTCTTATCGCTGTGGTAGATCCGAAATTTACTATCAACAGTCATCAATCGTATTACCAGGATTACCACCACCTCAAGATACGATGGGAACTGTGTCACTATGTGCTAAAAGAAGACTTGAGCGTGACCATAGAATTTTACTGTTGTAAAATGTGAAAAGGTATCTAGCAGTACGCAGAGTCCCGTAATTAAAAGGTGTAAGGTGCCCACTGCACAGTGGTCCAGAAACCGAATTTAGATGGAATAAATTGTTGGAGCCTAAATAGTTACTTTTAAATATATAGAGTCTTCGGGAAAGTTTTTTCATTTATTTTGGCCAAGACATTAGTTAGTTAGATGAGTTATAAATATCAGCTTTTTAGTAATTTGATAGAGACCGGGGTAATGTAGAAAAAGTTATTGAAAACAACTTTGCTGAAATAAGCAATTTTCTATCTCTAATGTTTATATGTAAAAATGGCGAGAGTGGACTTTTATGCTATTAGTTGCAGTTATTATTTATTGTTATTGTTATTGCTCAGCTCAAACCCTGGCCGACTATCGCCCGCCCATCTGCACTTAAGCTAGGTATGAACCTACGGAAATTTTGGTCGTGACCTATGCTAGACCGTATAGCATAACGACTTTCTTCCACCAGCAGGCCTGTTGCTCCCGTAGGCAGTCCCCAGTCAGATTTGTAGGGGATAGTAAGAGAATAAAAGAATAGAGAAGAGCGATAGAGTATTTGTTGTTTTTCTGAAAAGAGAAGAACAAACACAGCTCGCCGACTTGTTGTGCTGCATGAGCCATGTCCGCTATTGGCTTGCTTGATTTCTTTGTTGGGGTTTTGCGGCCAATAAGCCCCTGTGCCTTTGCTGTGACGTACTGATGAATTTGATTCACATGCTTCACACGCTTGCCTGCAGTGATTTTGTCGGTTGTATATTATTTTTATTTTTATATTGTTTTTCGGCTGCCAGTACGCTGCCAGCAACAATTTCCATTGGGGATCATTTGATACGTTTGGGTTTCCTGCACATACGACTTTTTCCTAGATACAAGCTTCGTCCAGTATACATTGGCTGTCTCCAACCGGCATGATCCTTTCTGTCTGCTTCCTTTTGCCGGTGCAAGTTTAATTCTTCTTTTCTTGTTCAAACTTTCTCGGTACTTTCCTCCTATTGAACTTCTGTTCGTGTTCCCACTTGTCCTCAGGCAGTTAATATTAGTACATGTTAGGAAGAAAGAAATAGAACAAGTTAAGTGTGAGCCGCAAGCATTGGTTACTTATTTGGGTCATGGTGTTGTGTTCCCTATTTATTTACCTCTATTTCGCTCTCAGATCGCAACGTTTAACTCACACTATTATGGACGGAAAAGAGAACTCATATTCAGTAATCTCTCGCGAACTGCGATGCAGAAGATATTAAAAGCAAACTAATCTGGAACTGGTCTAAGACATATAACCCAGTGAGTATTGACACATCACAATGTTGTGATGGAGCACGGACGTGAGATTTACTAGAGTATTAAATGCAAAATGCAAATGCAAAATAAAACTTGACAAAACATCGTCAATCCCCTTATTCTTGGGTAGGGCCTGACGATGTGAATCTGATTTTGATCAGTGAACGGGCCCATATGGTACATTTTCTCACTATGTCATTTCTAGCTAATATATCGCGTATTTTACTCTTAACACTATCAGTCACCAGATGAAATAAAAACAAGTCGGTATAGCTTCAGCTCACAAACTACAAGAGAGCGATCGTTTGCTTTATTGCCTATTTATACTGTTCCGTTACCACTCGTCAACCCATACAAATGTATCTCTTATATACTTCGACCTAAGGGGTTCCGATCATAGTTCGATTATCCTTTATACCGTACACATCAGTTCTTCCCTCTTCAGTTAAGAAATGCAATTCTACATACATAATTCTTCTGATCAAATATAACTTTTCCGAAATCAAGGCAATAATTCACAAAATAAATTTTCGATCGTCAAAAATGTACATCATCCTTGCTTTATCTATTGATTAGTTATCTTAACCTATACTTATTCATGATTCACTTCATCTTCATTTCGAATTCATTCTATATGATATTCTTTCCGACATTGCCTTTCACACCTTTCTTCTAAACACTACTTGCACTTGTACTTGGACCATCGCTTCTGCATTTGTTTCTCGAACCCAAAAAACTCCGTGTAACAATAGGACTACGTCTCATTACCTTGAGATGTCTACTATCGTCTTCGGTTTGATTAGGCTTTTCCGTGATATCCGGAAATCCAAGGAAATCCTCCTCCGAATCACTTCTTTCCCTTGTCCTCTTTCTTCTTTGTATCGGTACTTGTATCCTTGTATACGTCATCTTCGGGCTCACCACTTTGAGCTGGTTCCGGTGTGCATTGGCCGTATGTCTACCAAAAGAGATCAAAAATACATTTAGTGAAACTCTTTTGACAAATTGTACTTCGATCCATTTCTCTATTGAATGAGTGTTATTATTTTTGTAAAATATCTTATCACCAGGAGAAAGATTTTGAAATGGATCTTGAGTGGGTGTACTGTTATTATCTTCTATTATCCTTTTTTTTTTTAGGAGAAGTCTCTAGGAAGTCCTTGTATCGTTTTTTTGGATGCAAAAGGTCCAATAAAACCTTTGGTTTAAAATTATACAATTTCTCAGATGGAAATGTATCCTCAGTAGCAATACATGTGTTTCTGTAATTAGCCAAGAAATACAGTATCCGTTCTTATATATCAAGAGACTTCATGTCAGAATCCAGTAAAAACTTTTTGAATTTTTCTTTTACTGTACGCACCATTCTTTCCGCCTGTACATTACTGCTGGGGTTATATGGTGGACTTTTCATCACGTTTATACCCTGTCTTTTCATAAATTCAATAAATTGTGCCGAATTGAATGGTGGCCCACCATCCGTTACCAGAACATCTGGAAGCCCAAACCTCGCAAAAACTGGAGTGAATTTTTTTATTACCCTGCTAGCATCCGTTCCGTACTTCATGAGTTCCACCTCCAACCATTTAGTATGGCTATCGACAATTAAAAGGTAAGTTTTGGATTCAAAATAAAAGAAATCCGCATGTATACGGCTGAAAGGTCTTATAGTCGGAATCCAAGCAGTATTACCGACTGGTTTAGGAATTACCGCTGTTTTTATGCAAGCTTGACATCTTTTCACATAGCTTTCTATGTCCGAATTCAAACCCAACCAAAACAAACAACGCCTCGCCGTCTGTTTCATCTTAACAATTCCATTGTGATTAGAATGCAACAATTTCAAAACAGCATCATGAAGGGACTTTGGTATTACCACCCTATCCTGATATTGGCGTTGACGGCGACTCTGTAGCTCTTTACTCCTATGAGAAAATCCATAAGCAAACGTCAGACTGTGCGTGAAACATGGCGGACTTTGTACTATCCTTTCACTCCACCGAAAATTCTCATATGAAACTGTCTATATTTGCTGAAAGAGAAAATTTTTCGACGGTGCCGTCAACGCCAATAAAATACATCCTTCCACTAATTCCAAATCCATACGCAGCGTAAACACAGGTTGCCAATTTTTTTCCATCCTTTTTGGCCAACCATTCTCCATGTATTCCATTACCTTTGAAAGTAAAAGGTCGAATTTTGTTTCTTTTGCTATTAATAAGTAATCTAATGGAAAATCGTTGAAATAATTTATACTCTTGATACTACCACTGTCCAAATTCTTCGGGACTTCCTGCTCCAAAGGAAACCTGGAGCAAAAATCAGCATTGCCCATCTGCGAAGAAGGCCTGTAACTAATTTCAAAATCATAAATGGACATTTCTATTGCATAACGTTGTAATCTGGTCACACATAAATGATGCTTACCTTCTTTTCCAAAAATGCCCAGCAGTGGTTTATGGTCGGTACATATAATAAAATTTTGTCCGAACAGGAATTTATGAAACCTCTTTACTGTACTAATCAGTGCTAAAGCCTCTAAATGTAATATTGGGTATGATTTTTGTGCTGAGTTCAATGAAAACGATACAAAACTGATTGGCTTTTCCTGTCCATCAATTAAATGTGCCATGACTCCTCCAAGCCCGTAACCACAAGCATCCGATACAACTATAAGCGGTTTCAAAGGATCATAAAACTCCAAAATATTGGCATTGATTAATTCATTTTTACTATCCTCTAATGTTTTCTGACAATCTTCACTCCACATAAATTTTACATCCTTTTTTAACAACCTATAAAGACAACTTAGCTTAGCCGACAAATGTGGAACAAAATTTCCATAATAATTAATTAGCCCCAAAAATGCTTTTAATTCCGTGATATCCTTTGGAACTTTTGCCTCCCTTATGGTGGATAATTTTTCAGGAGAGGGTAATAGCAACCGGTCCGCACTCGTGTTTATTTCAGTTACCATGGGTACGTAATTTGTGATTAGCCCCGGTCCCTTTCAAATTGTATAATTATTTATGTACGACCTTAAATTTGAAGTGACATTTCACATTCATCTAGTGATGGCCGATTTTCATTCGAATAATCGATTAATCGATTAACGAACCGAAAATTAAAATATTTGTAATCGGTTATATCATGCTGATATAAGCATTAACCTCACCAGAGGATCATCATCGTTTCAAACATATGCTGCACTCTCATTGGTGGAAAAATGACAGCACAGCGAACAAAAAATAACCGATTAGATGTTAATCGAATAATTTAAAAAATGGGACATCTCTGATTTTGGTGTGATTGTTTTGATAAAAAAGAGCGCAAAATTTCATCTCTACCGAGGGGGCAGCAAAACCACAAAATTACCTTGCATACGGGGGGTATTCACTGGATGAAAGGGACCGTGAAAGAGAACACTAAAATAGAAAGTTTTTCTTCCGACTGTTTCATCTTAGTATTCATCTTTGGTAATAGCCCTTTATCCGAAATCAAATGTCCCAGATAAGTAAGTGATTGAACAAAAAATTTAATTTTTTTTAAATTTACCTTTATATTTGCAGCATTTAACCTTCCCAGAACTAATTCAAGGTTAGCTTCACATTCCTCCTTTGTTTTTTCAGCTATCAGCACATCATCCAAATAACAACTAACATTTTTCAATCCCACTAAAATTTGGTCCATCACCTTCTGAAAGATCGGAGCACTGGATGAAGCTCCTTGGGGCAAGCGGTTGTATGTATAAAGCCCTTTGATAGTATTAATTACTACAAATTTCCTGGAGTTATCTGAGAGTTGTAATTGCGTGTACGCCCCTGCCAAGTCTAAACAACAGAACCACTTGCATCCTGACAAGGTAGCAAAAATGTCTTGTACCAAAGGGAGGGGATAAGTATTTGGGACAATCACTTTGTTAATAGAAACCTTACAATCCAATACCATTCGTATTTCATTCTCCTTCTTTAAAACTACTACCACTGGAGATGCCCATTCACTGACCTGCATTGGAGAGATCACGTTCTGCTTTTCCAAAGCGTCCAAGTGTTCTATTACCTTTTCCCGAATCTTAAATGGGACATCATATGCTTTTTTGAATATTGGCCGGTCATCTTTTAGTACTAAGTCCGCCTCATAATAACCTGTTATTGGATGTGAAAAATCTCCATCAAATACTTTGGGAAATCTTAGTTTAATTTTAGTCTCAACATTACCCTGTGATCCGCCTAACTCCACCTCTCTATTTATCGAATTGACCATGGCAGGATTCATAAATGTTTCCCTCCAGTTAGGATAAAATGCGTCCAACCAATCTCTT